ATCTTTGGAGTCCTGGTGTGCTGCTGTGGGTTAATGGCCTGGACTGAAAAGTCAGTATGAACTGTAAGGTTGACAGAATCTACTCGATGGCATTTAACAACAACATCAAACACCTTTGCTGTTGTTGTTGTTAAATGCTGTCGAATCGGTTCCGACTCATAGCGACTCTATATAGAGTTTCCGGGGAGCAGCTGGTGGAATTTGTACTGGCGACCTTGTAGAGTGAAATCCAGTGCTTAGTTGGGTTTATTCTCTGAGGTGGCTAGGATTACTATCACAATGCTCATACTGACTGAGATACGAGGAGTAGAGAGTGGCCTGTATAATCCAAACAGTAGTACCATGGCTTCCACCATTATAGCAAACATTGGTAGTAATTCTTTGAACCAAAACCCAAAATTAAACCTATTGCTGTCTGTCGATTCAGAATCACAGTGACACGGCAGGATAGAATAGATCTGGTCCATCGTTTCCAAGCCGATGTGTGGAAGCCAGCTTTCTCTAATGGAGTGGCTGCTGAGTTGGGACTGCCAACGTTTCTGTTAGCAGCCGGTACTCCCAGCTAATATTTATTGTTTGTGTCCTGGATGATACATGATGTGATATATATTATAACATTTAGCAGGACCTCAAATGTACTCAGAAAAACAGCAGACCAAAAGGTCAACATAGGTTTTATTACCTCTTTGAGAACTTTTACTTTTGTAGCGAGATAATATTTTGAAATACTAATATTTGAGCTTTGATTTTCTATATCTTGCCTATGACTTCTCACCTAGTTAGTCAAAGATATTGCCTCAAGAGGAGATCAGATTATGAAAGCATATGAAGAAAAGAAAGTCCATATTTGTTTTTAGTTTTTAATTTCAAAATGATGAAGGCTGAGTGGAGCAGGAAACTTGAGCTTCTGCCATATTAATAGAATTGGAACCGGTTACAGGAAGAACGGACTCTCCACTGTCCCAACCCCAAGGAGGCTAGACCCCAAGAAGGTTTAACTTGCTAGAGGAAGGAGTAATGGCAAGCCTGGGTTGTTGTTGTTAAGTGCTGTCAAGTCAGTTCTGACCCATAGTGACCCTGTATAGGGTTTCTGAGAAGCAGCTGGTAAGCTTGAACCACCAACCTTGTGGTTCAAATGGCTTTGTAGTCTGGAGCATTAACCCACAGCACCACACCAAAACTGGGCTGTTGTTGTGAAGTGCCGTCGAGTCAATTCTGACCCATAGCGACCCTGTATAGGGTTTCCAAGGATCAGCTGGTGAGCTTGAAGCACCAACCTCGCAGTTCAAATGACTTTGCAGTCTGATGCACTAGCCCCCCAGGGCCACACCAGGACTCCAGGACTGGGTTAGGACTTGAAAATATGCCAAGTTTGTGAGATGGGGTAAGACGATGGGACCCAGGTGACAGTCTGGAAAGGGAGAGAATCTACAGTGAGAGACTAAGGAAGTCCACTGTATCAAGGGCAGCATAAAGCTGAATTAATATCCAAGGAATATTCCATTTCCACCCCAGGGACTATCTTCGGTGAAAAGCAGCATTATAGACAGATATCCGTCCCCTCTCCCCCCACTCTCCCCTCCCCCCCCCAGTGTGTGCTATAATCCTTCTATGGAGAGCTGCTTGCTGATAACTCACTGAAAGTCCAGCAAATATATACTGCCCAACTTTCTGAGACTTCGTTGAACCCCATCTAAATGATGCTGTGAAGCACCTCCTCCCTTTGCAATAACTCGGAATGCTCACAAGCCTCCAAAAGCCAGAGGGTGGAAGACTCTGACAACCAGACCACTACTCACATTGTTATGTCTTAACTTGGTACAAGAAACCTAACGCGAAAAAGTAGGGCCAGAGGCAAAGGAACAAAGGTACATTGAACTCTTCAAGGAACTAGAAGAAAAAGGGAAAAAAGAAGGCTAACCTTTTAGAATCTCTGCCCTCGTCTTACTCTGAATTAAGCCTGGATGTTTCAGCTGTGACCAAAAGTGAGGGAAGCTTGACGTACTCTCCACATCCTACAGAGAAGCAGAAGGCGTGATATATAGACACTCTTTTGTAGCTCCCCAAGAATCGAACTCTCCTCCTCAGAATCCCACTCTTGACTCCTAGCTATAGTATTCTATGACATAAATAATTATCTAGCTGTCTTAAGATGGTTCCTTAATTCTTTTGTGTTGTATATTATTTATCTATAACTCTACCCAACAGTGTTATTGGTAAGTTCTGTGAAGTCAGTTCTGACTACTAGCTACCCTATTTGGTTGAAAAGATTAAAAAGGAAAACCATGCAGAATAAACAAGCCATGCGATTTTATTATAAATATGAACCAGAAAGGTAAAGATCCAGATGAATCCACTTCTTAGAAATTGATCCAAGTGAACAGAGATTAATGGTTTGATCTGCCCAAGAAAATGATTCTGATGCCCTCTAATGATTGAGGAGATGAGTGGAGAAATGCTGAAAGCGGACATACACTTTTGAATTCTTACTGTGTATAGTGTGTTTCTATGTTCTACTAGACTCTGCAGAGGAAATAGCCTTCCAGTCTCTGTCTTTTCTTTTCTTTTTTAAATGAATCACAGTGTGAAATAAATCAGATGAAAAATCTCAACAGTTCAATGAATTTCTATGTAGACAAAACAACAGTTCAGATTTTGTGTGAGCATTGAATAGATCTGGACCTAGAAAGTATGAAGATATGGTTATGATGATGGGTTGAGTTGAAAGAATATGATGTACTAAAAAATGTGACTGGTAGTTGGTATTGTGTGTGGTGGGGAGAGGGATGTTTACAAAGACTCAAAGGCAGGAGATAGTTAATTTAAAGAGAGGATCAGGCAAGCAGATTACCTTGGCTGGTGTAAGGAAAGTGAGGTTGGGGAAATAGTTGGGGAACCAAGAGTGAAGATTCTCATTTAATTTGCCTTTCCTTTGCACGCTGCTCAGCAGATAAGATCAAGGGAAGCAAGAGGGTATTGAGGGGTGTGCCCTGCCCCAGCAGAGTCAGTTGCCTCAGTATGGGTCCTCAGAAAGAAGGAGGAATGATCATCTTCTCTGATGGTTCCACATCTCACAACTTCTCATCTAGATGTTTCAGAGTGTGCAGGCGACAAGGAGCTATTTAAGGGCTCAACCAGATTTAGGCATCAACAAATGTAGCAATACCACACAAAGGAGAAGCCGTAGATCCAGACCATCAAAATGGCAGTGAAGGCCACATGCCAGCAGTAGAAGGTGGTAACAAACATAATATCATTTTTGTCATCATCCATCCATTTATAGCCAGAGATTGGTTTGAACAGCATAAAACCTACGTGCATCAGCCAAGACCCTACCACCATATTTAAAAAGGCTTTCATCATCCAGATCTGAAGCATGTTGGGAGCCCACAGCTCTGCAATCACCACCAGCGTCAGCAGGAACATGGTCTGGATGAGCAAGATGTGAGCCTGAAGCTCCACTCCTTCTGTATCCTGAATGTGAGACGCCATCAGTGGCAGACACACAAACAAGGCTAAGGCTTGGGCTCCTTGTTCTAGAGGAGCACATCTCCGGGGCAACAGGTTCTGGCTCACCACATCTACACATCCACTTAGCAAGAAGCTCATATAAAAAGTGAGATGCTGCCACTCTTTGTGGTATAAAAAGTTTCTTTGGTGAAATAGCTTGGTTATAAGTACAAAGTCTCCAGGAATGCCTTGCAGCTCTTGAGCTACTAAAATGCAGGCAGCCAATATCTTCAGCAATCCAACATAATATATTTGCCGTAGCTTGGCCCATCTTCCTTTGCTCCAGGGACGACTTGCTGGATACTGGACAGGGTAGTTGCATATTGAGGCCTTAGAGAAGAGTTGTGCATGATAAAGACCAAAGAAGAAGAAAGACAACCCTGGAAACAGGTGACCCTCAAAGCCTCCCATGGAACTGAAGGCAGGTCTTCACCACAGGCAGAGACAAAAGACCCAAGAATGACCATTCATCCAGAGCCACCTCAGGCTCCAGAGTGTGGAGGAAGCTTCCTGCAGTCTACTTATATCCTCTCTATCCAGTCCACTGCATCCACAGACAGAAGGGAAATGATTTTGGAGGAAGCCCAAACTTATAGTGGGGTGGGTGTCATGGCTTCCGTTCTTGTCCTCTGCTCTGGTCCACTGAGAACTAACTAACCTTTGCAAATCAAATAAATAACCATACTCTCCAACACAGCAGCTGAGCACCTGTCATCTTCAGAGACTATGTGGTAGGACCCACCTTGCCTTTCCTCTCTCTTGATTGTGTTACTACTTTCCCTGTTTTCCTCCCATATTCACAGAACATAAGGGAAAACCCACAGGAACACACAAAGTAGAGTATATCCCTACTCATACAAAACTAGATACAAATGTTCCCCTAGGTGTAAATAGTCATAAAAGCCACAAGTAAGTCTACAACTCCCCTCTGCCCCCAGATTTCCTACAATCTGTAGATTGCCAGGAAAATATTCACTCCTGAAATTCTCTCTTCTTCTGATTTCCAGGTATAATTAAGACACCAACATCCAAGATTCCTTTTTTATGGTTGAAGTAGTGTTTTTCCAAGTTAAAATGAAGGTTACAAAGTTGTACCCAGAGGTAAGGAACTGGAATCTCTTGAAGTGGTGCTTTGCAATAAGCATTTCTGTAAACCTAGGTAATCTTGTGCACACTTTATATTGAGAATCACTTAAAGAATCTTTGTGTAAATTAGCTCATCTTGTGTTTTCTTTCATGAAATATTATTTAGCATGTAATGGTCATATTTCCTTTTATGACAGCCAACTACATACAGAGTATCTCAAAATTTGCTTCATAAGAGTACAGATTCCAAGAGTACAGTAAAGATTTCCAGTGAGGTTATCTGATGGTAAGTTTTCTTTTTGTTGCTAACTTGAATGGATCTGCTGTTTTACTTTCTAATTAATATGGCTATGTTGCTGGTGGTGGTGGTTGCCTCCGAGTCTGTTCTGACAGAATAGAACTGTTATAGACTAGAATTATGTTCCATAGGATTTTCTGGATTGCAGTCTTAACAAATGCAGGGCACAAGGCCTATCTTCTACAGAGCCACTGGGTCCATTCAAACTGCCAAGTTTTAGGTCAGCAGTCAAGGAGAAACCCTTCTTGCTACCTAAATCTAAAAAACCAAGCTAGTTGCCATAAAGCTGATGCAGATTCATAAGGACTTTATAGGACAGGGTAGAATTACCCTATAGAGTTCCCAAGGCTGTAAACTATTACATTGTATCAAGCATTCATAATAAATCTTTGTGACTTTGAACCAAAAACACAACTAAAATTTTTTGTTTATCACATTGCTCTTACTAATTTTTCCAGTTGATTTTATATAATCATATTGTTGTTGTTAAGTTGTTAACAACATAGCAACCCTATATAACATTTCTGAGGAGCAGCTGGTGGGTTTGTACTGCTGACCTTGTGGTGTGCAGTCCAGTGTTTGTCTTACAGCTCCACACCAGAAGTCCTGCAAATAATTTAAAAAATCACTTGCTTTTAGATATTTTTCTTCTTTTCCTATTGCCTTTTCTAATTATCCACTACTCGTCTGTCAGTTCTGCATTTGTTAATACAGAAATGGCTGCAATCATACATTGGCAGAGAACTTCCAGAGGTTCAAGCTGGATTCAGAAGAGGCCGTGGAATGAGAGATATCATTGCTGATGTCCGATGGATCTTGGCTGAAAGCAGAGAATATCAGAAGGATGTTTACCTGTGCTTTATTGACTACGCAAAGGCTTTCAATTGTGTGGATCATGACAAGCTATGGACAACATTGAGAAGTATGAGTATTCCAGAACACTTAATTGTACTTCTAAGAAATCTGTACCTAGACCAAGAAGCAGTTGTTCGAACAGAACATGGGAACACTGAATGTTTTAAAATTGGGAAAGGTGTGAGACAGGGTTGTATTCTTTCACCATACTTATTCAACCTGTATGCTGAGCAAATAATATGAGAAGCTGGGTTCTATGAAGAAAAACGTGGCATCAGAATTGGAGGAAGACTCATTAACAACCTGCGATATGCAGATGATACAACCTTGCTTGCTGAAAGTGAAGAGGACTTGAAACATTTACTTATGAAGATCAAAGAGCACAGCCTTCGATATGGATTGCATCTCAATGTCAAGAAAACAAAAATCCTCACCACTGGACCAATAAACAGCATTCTTATCAATGGAGAAGAGATTGAAGTTGTCAAGGACTTCATTCTTCTTGGATCAACTATCAACACTCGCGGAAGTAGCAGTCAAGAGATCAGACGACGTATTGCACTGGGCAAATCTGCTGCACAGGAACTTTTTAAAGTGTTGAAGAGCAGAGATGTCAGCTTGAGGACTAGGGTGTACCTGACCCAGGCCATTGTGTTTTCAATAGCCTCATATGGATGCGAAAGCTGGACAGTGAATAAGGAGATCGTAGAAGAATTGATGCCTTTGAGTTGTGGTGTTGGAGGAGAATACTGAAAGTGCCATGGACTGCCAAAAGAACCAATAGATCTGTTTTGGAAGAAGTGCAGCCAGAGTACTCCTTGGAGGCCAGGATGGCTAAGCTTCGTCTCTCCTACTTCGGACATATTGTCTGGAGGAAACAATCTGTCTGGAGGAGAAGGATGTCATGCTGGGTAGGGTGGAGGGTCAGAGAAAAAAAGGAAGACCCCGAATGAGATGGATCAGCCAGGTGGCATCATTGATGGACTCAAGTATGGCAGCGGTAGTGAGGTTGGCCCAGGATCAAACATTGTTTCGTTCTGCTATGCTGGGGTCGCTATGAGTCGGTTCCGACTCGATGGCACCTGACAACAACAAAAACAACGTCTGTCAGTTTGTTACACTTTGGTGGCTTATGTTCTGCTGTGGTACTGAAAGCTACACCTCCAGTTTTCTAAACACCAGCAGTGTCAACCATGATGGTAAGGTTTCAGCGGAGCTTCCAGACTAAGACAGACTAAACAGAAGAAGAGGTAGACTCCTTCTGAATGTTTTGCTACTGGAAACCTGATGAATAGCAGCAGAACATTGAGTGCCATGAACATAGTTAACACCTAAGCCGATCGGAACTCCACCTAGTGCTAGGAACAAACACCACTGTTACATCTCTCCCACACCCACATCCTGCTTGGCTTCTAAGGATCCAACAGCTGCACTATTTTTTGGCTTTTGCTTTTTTCTGTTTGTTGTTTCATTCTCCTCCTTCTTCTCTTTCCATCCCCATGAATTTTATCCTTTCTATCTCTGTTTTTGCTTTTCCTACTTTTCTTCTTTTTCTCATTTCCCCTCTTCTTTGTTTTTCTCTGTTTAATCTTTCTTTACTACTCTCTACTCACTCTTTTCATCTTCCCTCTCCTTGGTTTTTGTGTTTGTGTGTGTGTTTTAATTTTTAACTTTTATTTCCTTTATTTTTCTCTTCTCTGGCTCAATTTTCTTGTCCCTCTTATCTCTTTTTAGTTACTCTTAAGTGGTTTGTTTGTTTAAGAAATTTTATTAATTTTAATCTCTTAATTTTCTCTTCTATAAGAGCTCCATTTTCCTATTCCTCCTTCATCTTTATAGTTATTATATTCCTTTTTTTTGGTTGCTACCAGTTTTTATTTCTTTTTTCTCTTTATGGTTTTATATTTTCATTGTTGGTTCCTTGTTTGCTTATTCTTTTTTGTGTTCTTGGGTGTGTGTAGGTGGAGGGGTTTTCTATCTCTCCTCAGACAAGAAACAGCAACCATACCCTCTGCAGCTCCCCCAACTGGGCAAGAGCTAATTTCAGTTCCTGTTCCACTGGATCAAAGATAGAGAGCAGTCAATACCAGCCAAACCCATCCTAAGCTGAGGTACACGAACAGAAAACGTGAATGGTTTACATGCTTTCATTCTCTAACTGCATCTACAAAAGACAGCTGCTAAGAGCCTAAGAATACATCAACATACAATAATCAATTAAATACAAATATAACAACCATATGATGCCCTAGAGACAACAGAAAAATTTAGCTCACACAAAAAGACAAGAGAGAATGGCTTAAACTAAAGACCAAGATGCAGAGTCAGAAAACATTTTGAGGAATAAAAGATAATGGAACTAACTGAAAAATAATTCAAAAGTGTTATTTAGGCACCTTATATGGATTGACAGAAAGATCTAGGAAAGCAAGGAGAACACAGAAAACACTTTATAAGAACTCAGGAAAACACTACAAGAACAAACAGACAAAATAAATGCAAATTTTGGAACAATACAAAACCTGAGATTAGAAATCCAGAAGATTAATACTAAGATCCCAGAATTGGACACTACATTGAAAGAACAGAGGAGTAGATTCTAAGCAGTGAGAGCCTGAATTTGTGAGCTTGAAGATAGATAAATCTCATAATACTAGCATGATAGAATAATAATCAGAAAAAATACAAACTGAAGCTTAACAGTTATGTGGGACAACATAAAGAGGAAAAACTTATGTTTAATCAAAATTCCAGAATAGATTGAGACAGTAAAAAGCATAGAGAAAAATATTTGAAAAGTTATTGGAAAAAAACTTCCCTAACATCACGAAGGACCTGAAGCTAAGCATATAAGAAGCTTAACAAATTCCAAACAGGATAGGTCCCAACATAAAATCACCAAGACACACCATAATCAAACTATTCAAACTCAATGACAAAGAAAGAATCCTGAGAGCATCTTGGGGAAAACAAAAAGTTACCTTCAAAAGAGAACCAATAAGGCTAAGTTCTAATTTCTCAGCAGATTCCATGCAGGCAAGAAGGCAATGGGTTGATACATATAAACCTCTGAAAGAAAACATTGCTGACTGATCATATACCCAGTAAAGCTGTCTCTCGAATATGATAAAACAGAAATTCAAGGAATTTGTAGTGATCAGATCAACTTCGC